CAAGGTAATTCAGGTGTGTTCTTCAGGCTCTGGTTCAATCATTTTTTTTTTTTTTTTTGGTTTAATGGTAAAACATCATTTCTTTATTAAAGTATAACGTTTATTTAGTTTTTTCCCAACAACGGAGTTCTGGGGATTCATCTTTTTTTTTTTTTTTTTTGTCTATTCTAAATCGTTTTATGAGAACCTCATACAAATAAATCAGTTTAAAAAGTAATTTCCCTAGGGCAGTGTTTCTCAGGGGGCGTTCCTGGATTATCTGTAACAGAATCACTTGAGGAGCTCGTTCAAGACACCCCAGGCCCTGGTCAGACCTGGGAAATCACCAAGGATGGAACCTAGGAACCTATATTTAAATAGGTAGCATAAATACTAAAGCTTTACAATATATATAGTCTGCAAAGTAGGACTGGCGTGTCAGAAGGTAAAATCTATTGAATGATTCTTTTCATGCGTGCCCAGGTTCTTCTTGGGAAAGATTGTGGCTGGCAGCACCATCAGCGACAGCAGCATATGAGGGTTCTTGTTCCAGTTGTGGGTTTAGGAACTCTCTCAGACATACACTGAAGATGCTCCAAGTGCTAAGGCACCTGGTGGAGGAGAGGTAGAAAGATGAAGGGAAAGTTTAAGTCTAGAGCAGATGTGAGAGAAAGGGGCTAGACTCACAGGCAGGGTTCCAGGTGAGGACTAACAGGATATCCACAGCGACCTGCAGGATGTGAAGACCGGTCTCAATACACCGTTCCCAGTACACCGGTGGCCCTGTCCCAGCTACTGTTCCTCTGAGCATGTGCTTAAGTGCTTTTGTTAAGGTAGCTGGAGATAATTTAGCTAAGAAAAAAAGGTGTAATTTTTGAACTTTATGGCTGGAAAACATGTTTGATACCAAACCGAATGAAGAAAACTACTAGAACAAACTAAACAGTCATAACTGGCTGCCTCAGGAGAAAAAAAAAAAGTAGTTGCCTCTGAGAAGCAGGACTGTCGGGGGCGGAGAGAAGGTGAAGGGTAATGCTTTTCCTCATAGACTTTCGGTATAACTATCTTTTCTAAACCATGTACCTGCACTATTTTTTAATTTTATTTTATTGTGCTTTAGGTGAAAATTTACAGCTCAAGTTAGTTTCTCAATTCAAAAATTTATACACATATTAGTTCATAACATCGGTTGCAATACCCACAATGTGACCACACTCTTCCCCTCTTGACCCCCACGTTCTCCAGGTCCACTCGTCCACTTGCCTTCTCTTCTTTGCTTTTGGACAGGAGTTGCCCATTTGGTCTCATATATTTGATTGAACTAAGAAGCCGTTCCTCACCTATTACTGTTTTGCAGGCCTGTCTAATCTTTGTCTGAAAGGTGAGCTTTGGGAGTGGTTTCAGGTCGGAGTTAGTGAGTGTCCGGGAGCCATAGTCTCGGGGTTCCTCCAGTTGTATTGCACTATTTTCATTTCAAAAAACATCTTTATTTAAAAATAAAGAAGAGAATGGTTTACAGTACACCATAGAGGCTACTGCGCTAGGAACTGTAAGTCTTGTAACTATCTCTCTAAAAAAAACGAGCAGCGAGAAACTGACACTACGAGCTACCCTCTACAGCTTCCAGACACCCGGAAGCAACGGCGGCAAAAGCGGCCTTTGCGTTGCGGCGGGGGCGGCGAGCGCGACTCGCGCTGCTCGCGAGAGGGCCGCTGAGAAGTGCGCATGCGCCGAGCAGGGCATTGCCTTTCTTCCTAGAAGTACCGGGGTGAAGGATGTTAAGATACTGAAGCCCTGCGGTTTCTCTGAGAAAAATCCGGCGTTTAATTCTGAGCAGTGCCAGCAATACGGTTCCCCCGCGGTTTAAGGGCGCTACTTAATACCCCGCCGGGACGACCGAGGATGACCCAGTGGATATTGAAGAGGGGGCAGGTGCCCGTGACCCCGGAGAGGAACCAGGCCAGCGGCAGTCACCGCTGCAGAGCCCAAGGACGAGGAGAGGAGCCGGGGCTCTGCCGCCAATACTGGCAGCTCGTGGAAAGTTTCCAACGGAATTATGCTGAGTTCGCCAAGCGACAGATTAACTGTGGCTCTTGAAGAAGTTAGCGCGCTGTTGAATGAAGTGGCCCGCTCAAAAGAAGCAGTCCTGGATGCTCGGTGCCTTGTTCAGCTTTCAGAGTTAGGTAAAGAAAGAGCAAATGAAATGTACTCTAAATCATTTGATCTAGCACCATTGCTTGAGTTTTCTTCTCTAAGACCGCCCCTCTCACCTGATGGTCTTTGGAATAATACCGGACAGGCATGTGCAGACTTCTTCAGGAGACATCTTCCTCAGCTTTGCACTCTATCTTGAGTTCTTTCAAGACGGCTTTCTCTGCCAAAGCGTCGACCCAAATGTCATGTCCCAGAAAGCAGGGCCGTACCTGCATAGTAGGAAAATGTGGAGGAGGATGATCAAGAAGGGACAGAAAAAGAAGTGGAGAGAATATTGGAAGTGTTGCAAAATTATTTTGAGAGACTCCTAAGACCCCTCCGTCCTTCTTTTCGTTAGTGATTGACCCAGGTTCTTTCTCGCACTGTAGACAGGATTTTCCATGCTCTTCACTGTAGGAGGTGGTTTAGCAAGGAATAAGCCTTGGCCAAAATAAACTGCCAGTAAAAGAGCCTGTCAGTATTAATGAAGAAAGTGAGGGAAGTGACCAGAATCCCCAACTTTGGAAACAAGATGTTGTAATTTTTGGTTTTCAGAACTGGAAGGAATCTGCAAAGTTTTAAAATGTCAAATGCTGTGATTTCTTCATGTCACAGCAAAGAAAGATTGGGTTCTTAGTAAAAGGTGAATTTTATGTTTTCTACAGTGTCTGAAATGGATAGCAAAATCCAAAAAAGAACTATGTATTATATAATGAGACCCATTTTCAAGGTATAGCTGAAATTTGTCTTAATATAACCTCTCCCGAGAGTTTATAAAGATGTCACAGAAACAAAAATTCACTGGGATATTCATAAAAGGGAAAAAAGAAATCTGGCCTCTCAGTTTACAGATGAGACTAACCCAGAAAGGCAAATAACTTGACAAAGACCAGTGGCAGACCTGGGAACTGGACCTTGGCCCAGTGCCTCTCCTTACTGATAGGAGCTCACACCCCATTGAAACAATCATAGTGTGAGTGTGTCATTAGAGAACGCTCATAAATCTCTTCATCATTCTGAAGTACCCAAACAGGCTTCTAAGAAAATGTTAGTGATCAGAGCTCTCCTTAAATGATACCTCTCTTTGGAAAAGCTTAAGCAAGGACTGGATAATCATTTACTGGAGTTATCAAAGGGATTCAAATCTACGGTGTCTCTTCCATTTAATGATCTTGTGTAACTGGCCATTTCTGTCAGGATCCAACCATCTGTGGGTCTGAGTCTTTGAATTGGTCACTATCTTTTAGTGTATATGTGGCAACTGCCAAGTATAGGGAAGAAGGAAACTAATCTCTCTTAAGGTCTACATTGAGTCAAGTATTCTGTTATGCACTTTCATATATATCACATAGTTTTCACAATAAGTCTTCTAGGTATTTAGTCTGCCTCAGGATTTCAGAAAGGTTAGGTAACATGCCCCAAACCATGCAGATGGTAGGAAGCACAATCAAGATTATATTATACTATCTTATCTCCAGATGAGTGCTTCCCAGCCCCTCCCTAGAATAGATAAACCCTTGCACTGCTCAGTGGGTCATCCAGGGCTACTGGTTCCTATTGCCTGATTAACAGCTAGAAATAAAGTTGAAACATAGGCCCAGGGCAAGGGCTCCTACTAGGAGAAAGGCATTTTGGTTGACAGCTCTTCACAAAGGCTCCAGAGTTTCAGACCTTTGCTTATGGGCAGATTCTCACTGATCAATGAATTCAAACTTTGTTCCCAAAATTCCCAGTATGATAATTCAGTCTGGATGAAGAGACCTGGGACTCAGCTTTAGGCAAGCTGGGACCAGGATGATAGGAACTGGCTGGTGAAGGGAGGAGGCTGGGATCTAAGGAGACAGTATCTGGGACTCAAGTAGCTGCGTTGCTCAGAGTCACCAAGATCATTTAGTGGTCTTGTGTGAATGGCCATTTTTATCAGGATCCAACCAGTGTGGTGTCCCAGGGAGCATGATCCATCCTCCCCTCAAGGGAGGGGGGATGTGCCAAAAGTTAACTCCAGAGATGCCATCCCATTCCCGTGCCTTCTGCTTTCCTAAAGATGAGATGAGCCCTCCTGTCCTGATGTTAGCTTTCAACACCCTTTAAACATACCCTGTCCCCATGTTCATCCTGAACCCATGACTGTGCTTCTGCTTCCTGAAAAACTGGCCATGAGTGAAGAAGCCATCTATCAGCTGTGACCTACCTGAGGCAAGTCAGTCCCCTTCTAGTCCACTGCTTCCGCAGGCACGCTGGCCACAGGCAGGCGCCAGCTCCCTGCCGCCACAGCCTAGTTCTTCCCTGCCTCTTCTCCAGCCCGACAGCACCACCCACTCCGGCCACATGAGATTCTTCCTTCCCTGGCTAGATTCCACCCTTCCCTGCCTCCAACCCTCTAAGCCATTTTAATTACTAGAATGCCCTTCTCCTTCTTCTGGCCCATCCAAATCTTCCTCTTCCCTCAAAGTACAGCTTCAGTGATTAAGATCACAGAACAAAGTTGACTTAGGATACTTCCTCTTACAAGACAACCAGGGACCAGAGCAGTTTGGATAAAGGGGATAAATGAGGTGGCTTTAAATTCACTTCTGGTTCAGAGGTCACCTGGGGATTAGGATCTATGCAGACTTGCAGCGCCAATCTGCCTCCAGGAGGCAGTCCCTTCTGCATGCTGCTGGGACTTGCGCTTCCCCTAGGAGAAAGTGGGCAGCTGCAGCTGAGCCACATGGGCTGCCATGGTCCAGCCAGGAGCAGAGCTGTGTTTCTTGGCATCTCTCCCAGTTCTCCTCGTGGCCAACTTCCGCGACTTCGCTGGGATTCAGACTTGTTGCTGTGCTCCACAGTGAGATACTTTAATTCATTCAATAAAGATTTAATCACTCCAGCGTTCCCTCCCGCCTCAGCCCATTCCTTCCACCCTTCCCCTCACTCATGATCACAGTATCAAAATAACAATCCTAAAATGGGATCACTGCGCTTGAATTTAACCTCCCACCATGCCTCTTACCCTCTGCGTGCTTTCAGTTACTCCTGAAGCACATAGTGCCCCTCACCTGCACACCCTCCCCCAACACACACCCCAGTCAGGTTGCAGGAAGTCCTGGTACCTAGAACAATTTGCCTATTTGCCCTTGCAATACCAGTGATCAACCAGTGAAATACCTGGTTGATCCAAGCAGTCCTATCTACAACTTCCAGCAGATAAGAGGGTGACCAGTTGCTGGGTACATGCCCCAGGCCCTCCAGCACAAGGACCCACCCTTCTCATCTCCTGGCTTAGCCAGGTCTTGTAGAATGGGTCTTTGCTGAGATACACACTAGATTTGCTAGATGAACTCATTCCTAGCACAAGCAGGTATTCAGGGTATGTTTGAGTCTAAAGGGAAAAAATGAAAACAGGGTCCAATGTCCTTGAGATGAAGATTTATCTTTACAATGCAGGAATGGTCTGTGAACTTCTAGTCTTCAGAACAAACTCGGTATATCCAGGTTGTCCACAGGACCTGAAGTCTTGGCTCTGCTTTGAGCCATGATGCAGACCAGCCAAGCTCAGTGACAGCTCTTGGTTCCTTACTCTCCTGGGCAGCCTCTCCAGCAGCTTAAAATTCCTGCTAAGGGTGTCACTGCAAGTTGCTCCCTGCTCCGTTCCTGACAAAGGCCTGACCTTGGGCTCTGTGCTGATGGGCTGGCTCCAGAAGGTGTTAATCATCAGAGGTCAAGTCCACTGGCTCATGGAGCCCCTGTGGGCCTGGGATCTGAGCATCTCCATGTTATCTTTGCTCCTTTCAAGGTGCACATCTTCAGGGTCCCACTGTGGAGAAAAGACAAATGGTACCTTCATGGAATGGACCGTTCCCATCTCTGATGATCCCCCACCCCCAAACAATAGCTTCAATCCTGGCTCTTTTGGCCCAAGCACAGACAAGGACAAACAGGTAAGGACAGGTGAACCAGGCCTATGTTTCCAGGACATAAGAGGGCAAGAGTAACTAAATTCAAAGATTTAATGAAGAGCCACCTGGAAGACACCAGCCCCACTTCCCTTCCTACCCCATTTTTCCACTGTTCTCTGCCTCCACCAAGTTCTTCTCTAGTGGGACTGAGTCATGTTCCCTTTATCCTGAGAAGTACCCCCTTCATGCCTAACTCACTCCTGGAAAAGGCCAGGCAAACTCAACCTGTTCTTTATGGCTTCGATAAGTGCCTCCTCCTCTAAGAAGTCTCCCTTGATTGCTTTATCCCCGCTGAGCTCTCACCCTCTTCTCTCTTTGTACTACCTATACCATGCATCTGCAGCTGAGCATGGACAGCTCGGTGCTTTCTCTGGACATCTTCCTTGTCCTTTGAGGTGGTGAAAACCAGGTGAAATTGAGCACTATTACAGATCAGTAAGTAAGCACAAGTAAGCCTGTGTATACCTTGCTTATTGGGTAATCCGTCCCTGTTCGGCAGACATGTCAAAAATAAACACTGAAAACTTAATTCAGAGTTGTGGTCGGTGCCAATGAATATTTCATTGCTGTGAGTCAGATAAGTGTGAAAAATTGAAATTTGTGAGGGTAAGAGTAGAGGTTAAAAGAAAAATGTGAGCACATGAGCATTGATGAAGCTGTTTGCAAAATCTCCCTATTGTTCCAATATGATGAATGAGAAAGAGCGTTACATGGGTCAAGGGGATCCTTCATGCTTCCTTTGGAATTCCAGCCATGGAGGCAAGTGGGGACTGGGCTCAAGTCTCCTTCTGCCACTCACTTGCAGTGCAACCTTTCAATCCCTGGGGCCTCAGTTTCCCCATGTGTAAGTTGTGGCACTGGATCAGCAACTAGGTAGTAAATCTCTTCTATTTCCGACTTTCTATGACGGATGATTCTGAGTCACAAGGTCACATCTGACAATATTGAAAGATCCAGGAAACAATAAGCAAGAGCTGTGTAAAATATGTTAACCTGGGCCACAACAGAAGGATCTATGTGGGCAAGAAAACAGACCTAGGCATGGCCATGTACCCCAAGAGACGCTCCACCAGCTGCCCAAACTTAAGCAGTCCTTAGATGTCCCAGATAAGGTCTTCAAGGTGCCCTGACAGATAACACCCACACCGTGTCAGTTATAAAACACAAATTTTGAACACAAAACCAGTCCAGTTAGTGATTTACTGATTTACTGATAACTGATAATAACTCAGTTCTACTACTTGGTGATTAGAAAATGCATCATGTTGAAAAGGCCACCTCATCCCCAGTGAGCCTGAAGACCAGGAACTAAGCTGACGTGGTTCAGCAGCTCAGCTGCCCCCATACTTGTGTGGGGCTATCAGCCAATTCTGGGGCTAACTTCTCATCTGCTTGTGGTTGCTGACCTTGCTGGACACCTCTCACCAAACTCCTTCCTGACATTATCAAAGATCCCAAGTAAGAAGGCTAGCCGAGCCCCTTGGCCTAGATGACTCAGCTTGTCCAACGGCAGAACTACCCATTGCCGTTGAGTTGATTCTGACTCATAGCAACCCTGTAGGACAGAGCAGAACTGCCCCGTAGGATTTCCAAAGCTGTAATCTTTATGGAATCAGACTGCCACATCTTTCTCCCACACAGCAGCTGGTGGGTTCAAACCACTGACCTTTCAGTTAGCAGCTAAGCACTTTAACTACTGCACCACCAGGACTCCTATGGCAGAACTAGGGATCTGTTTTGCTCTCTGAGGAGGGACAGTGTGCTTTTTGATGAATGCTGTTTCCAAGCTGAGGCCCATGTTCTAGATCACAATTCTAAGACTGTACTGGACCGACCATACCAGAAGCACCCAGGCTGCTCCTCACAAAGGCTGATGTTGGGAGCCCACCCCAGCCCCTATCTGTGGGTAGGAACCTAAGTTTTTGGCATTGTAACAGGCTCCTAGGGCGATTCTTTCCTGTTATTGTTAGTTGCCATGGAGTTGGCTCTGACTCACGGTGACCTTATGTGTAACAGAACGAAGCGTGCCATCCTTATGATCAGGGCGATTCTTCGATGCCCTAATGTTTGAGAACCACTGCTCCAGCTCCCCAAATGGCTGCCTAAGAGTGATTCTTCTAGTCCTACCCAATTCAGCTGCCTGCAAACAGAAACACCTGCCCACCTGAATCAAGTGAGCTATCCGAAATGGTTCAAGCCTCACAAAACATTTTAAATCTCTTTGTTCTGAATCCCCAGAATAACGTGTTTTAAAACTTCATATGAAGTCATTAAAAGCATTGCTGGAATCGAGGCATAAAGACAACTGGAGAAAAGATGATCTACTCTTTCATCAGAAACAGTCCTGGGAGATGACAGGCACAGGTGGTTGTCTTAAAACATGTACTTATCTGTCACTTGGAGGCAAGGGTGGCATGGAGACAGCAGCCCGCTGCCCAGGGCCTCAGAATGACAATGTGCGGGAACGTTGATTTCAGCAACTACTGCAGCCGCTCCCAGCACTACTACCGTTACTGACCCGTAGTTATTCACCTTGTTCATAGACTTTTGTTCCAAACCATGTCTCTTCACTGGGTTATGTGTTGTCATGGATTGAATTATGTCCCCCCCAAAATGTGTGTATCAATTTGGCTAGGCCATGATTCCCAGTATTCTGTGGTTGGCCTCCATTTTGTGATTATAATTTTACGTTAAAGAGGATTAGGGTGGGATTGTAACACCCTTACCCAGGTCACATCCCTGATCCAATATAAAGGGAGTTTCCCTGGGGTACGGCCTGCACCACCTTGTATCTTTCAAGAGATAAAAAGGAAAGGGAAGCAAGCCGAGAGTTGGGGACCTCATACCACCAAGAAAGCAGTGCCAGGAGCAGAGAGTGTCCTTTGGACCTGGGGTCCCTGCGTGAAGAAGCTCCTAGTCCGGGGGAAAATTGATGAGAAGGCCGACAGAGAGAGAAAGCCTTCCCCTGGAGGTGACGCCCTGAATTTGGACTTTCAGCCTACTTTACTGTGAAGAAATAAATTTATCTTTGTTAAAGCCATCCACTTGTGGTGTTTCTGTTATAGCAGCACTAGCTGACTAAGACATGCATCTTCTCTGAATCCCTACTTGACGATAGGGCTTATCTGAATACCCCCAATGCAGAAAGAACTCTGACTTGAGAGAGCCCTGAAAATCCCACTGATCTTCAGACTTGCCTCTTATTTTTACATTCTTTTATTCTAAAGGAATTGGCATGGGTCAGCCATCCAGGGAGGTCTAATAAAAACAGGAACTGATTCTCCTTCCTCTATTGCTCCAGCAAATAGAAACCAGTTGTTGTGTCTTGGATGGCCATTTGCAAGCTTTTAAGACCCCAGGCACTACACAAAAGGAAGTAGAAGAGAAGCACTAAACACGTTATTAGGCCAATTAATGGAGATGTCCCATGAAAGCATGACCCTGAACCTCCAAACCAAGGAACCAAATCTCATGAGGTATTTCTTTGTACATAAGCAGCCTCAGCAGCTGCTCTTTTTTTTGTCATTGTTGTAAAAATATCTATCATGTAACTTTTGCCAATTCAACTTTTTACAGATGTACAATTTAATGATAGCAATTACATTAATCAGCTGTGCAACGCTACCTTAATCAATTTGATTAATAGAAATAGGAGGAGGAAATGGAATGGGTGGCTAATTGCCTCCATGAACAACTGTCTTCTTTGCCATGAGACCAGAACTGGAGGTTACCTGGCTACCATTGTTGAACATTTTGATCGAATATTGCATAGAAGAATCCTGATCAAAAGGGGGAAAATGCAGAACAGAATTTAAAATTCTCATGGAATCTAGACTTTCTGGAGCCATGGAGGCTGGATGAGCCTCCAAAACTATTGCCCTGAGATAATTTTTTTCCTCCTACTTTTTTTTGTGTGTACGTGCTTTAGGTGAAAGTTTACAGCTCAATTTAATTTCTCATACAAAAATTTATACACATATTGTTATGTGAACCTAGTTGTAATCCCTATAATGTGACAGCACACTCCCCCTTTCCACCTCAGGTTTCTCATGTTCATTCAACCAGCGCTGAGATAATTTTTAAAACTTAAATCAAAAATATCCCCTGAAATCTTCTTAAAATCAAAAAATGGTTTAGCTTAATTAGTAAAGAATGTCTGCCTCGAGCATTGTGCTCTTTCAGAATCTATCTATATGGGATCAAATTGACAACAGCAGTTTGAAAGACTGGATAGGAAACTTGGGGGAAGTGAGTTTAGGTAAGTGGGGGAGGAGCAAATCACAAAAGGAAGGTGAGAACAGTCACACAACTTGAAGAACGTGATCAATGTCACTGAATTGTACATGTAGAAGCTGTTGAATTGATGTATGTTCTGCTGTGTATATTATCAACAACAACAACAAATTAAATAAATTCCAAAAAAAAAGAGCATGCAATATGAAACCAGTATTTCAAAAGGTAAAACAGCCCAGTAATCTCCAAAGATCTCTACTGGTTCCCCAGGTTTTGAACAAGTCACAATAAAAGATTTAAAACAAAAAACAAAAGAAAAAAACGAAAATCAAGCCATAGGAAGTCTCTCTTGGAATAGAGAGAGAGCATGATTGTTCATACCTGCTCTGAGTTTAGGGCCTCCCAATACTTCTGCTGCAGAATAAAAAGAGAGATGGAAAAAGTGTTGGACAGATTTTATCACCATCATGGAGCACAGCAGAGCTCAGTGCAAGCCAGTTAGCCAGGAGAGAGCCCCCAGATGATGCTGGGGAGCTAAGGAACAGCTGGCCTCAGCAAGCAAGCAAGCAGGCAGGCAGGCAGCAGTTAGATGATGAAAAGGATAATTATGATAATTATGAAGGGCTACAGGTCCTTGGGAAAATTATAATCTATAGAAATTTTAAAATAACTATTATTAGAAATTATTATTATTAGGAGTGTTATGGATTGAATTCTGTCTCCCAAAAAAATGTGTTGTAAATCCTAATCTCTATGCCTATGGTTATAATCACATTTGAGAATGGGTTGTCTTGGTTATGTTAATGAGGCAGGATTAAGATAGAGTGTGTTCTGAGATATAAAAGAGATTAAAAGAAGCAAGCAAAATAAGCAGATATGGGGGAAGAGAGATGACAAGCCACATGAAGATTCCAGGAGCAAAAGCTCAGAGACAAGGACCTTCCTCCAGAGCCGACAGAGAGAAAGCCTTCCCCTAAAGACGGCACTCTGAATTCAGATTTCTAGCCTCCTGAACTGTGAGAAACTAAATTTCTGTTTGTTGAAGCCACTCACTTGTGGTATTTCTGTTATAACAGCACTAGATAACAAACACAAGAAGTAATAATAGTACATCTCCCATTTAATAATTAAATGGCTGACGTGACTAAACTCAAATCCATAAAACTAAGGAAGAGAGATGCAAAAAAAATCCTCACCTTGCCAATGTGGGGTATTTACTACCAGCCAAGATTCAAGATCTATCCTGAAGTACAACGCTGTCAGTGATAGGATAATATCCATATGCCTACAAGGTAGACTAGTTAATACAACTATTATTCAAATTTATGTACCAACCACTAATGCCAAAGATGAAGAAATTGAAGATTTTTACCAACTTCTGCAGTTTAAAATTGATTGAACATGCAATCAAGATGCATTGATAATTACAGGTGATTGGAATGTGAAAGTAGGAAACAAAGAAGAAGAATCACTAGTTGGAAAATATGGCCTTGGTGATAGAAACAAGGCCAGTAATCACATGATAGAATTTTGTAAGACCAACAACCTATTCATTGGAAATACCTTTTTTCAACAACACAAACGGCAACTATACACATGGACCTCACCAGATGGAATACACAAGAATCAGATAGACTACATCTGTGGAAAGAGATGTTGGAGAACCTCAATATCATCAGTCAGAACAAGGCCAGGGGCAGACTGTGGAACAGACCTTCAATTGCTCCTATGCAAGTTCAAGTTGAAGCCAAAGAAAATCAAAAACAAGTCCATGAGAGCCAAAATACGACCCTGAGTATATTCCACCTGAATTTGGAGACCATCTCAAAAATAGATTTGACTCATTGAACACTAATGACCAGACGAGTTATGGGATGACATCAAGGACATTATACATGAAGAAAGTAAGAGGTCATTAAAAAGACAGGAAAGAAAGAAAAGACCAAAATGGATGTCAGAAGAGACTCTGAAACTTGTTCTTGAACGTTGAGTGGCTAAAGCAAAAGGAAGAAATGATGAAGTAAAAGAGCTGAACAGAAGATTTCAAAGGGCGGCTGGAGAAGACAAAGTAAAGTATTATAATGAAATGTGCAAAGACCTGGAGTTAGAAAACCAAAAGGGAAGAGCACGCTTGGTATTTCTCAAACTGAAAGAACTGAAGAAAGAATTCAAGCCTTGAGTTGCAATTTTGAAGGATATTGAATGACGCAGGAAGCATCAAAAGAAAATGGAAGGAATACACAGAGTCACTGTACCAAAAAGGATTAGTCAACGTTCAGCCATTTCAGAAGGTAGCATATGATCAAGAACCGATGGTACTGAAGGAAGAAGTCCAAGCTGCATTAAAGGCATATGGCAAAAAAACAAGGCTCCACAAATTGATGGAATACCAATTGAGATGTTTCAACAAACGGATGCAGAGCTTGAGGTGCTTACTTGTCTATGCCAAGAAATTTGGAAGACAGCTACCTGGCCAACCGATTGGAAGAGATCCATATTCATGCCCATTCCAAAGAAAGGCGATCCAACAGAATGTGGAAAATATCAAACAATATCACTAATATCATACACAAGTAAAATTTTGGTGAAGATCATTCAAAAATGGTTACAGCAGTAGAACGACAGGGAACTTCCAGAAATTCAAGCCAGATTCAGAAGAGGATGTGGAAGGAGAGATATCACTGCTGATGTTAGATGGATCTTGTCTGAAAGCAGAGAATACCAGAAAGATGTTTACCTGTGTTTTATTGACGATGCAAAGGCATTCAACTGTGTGGATCACAGCAAATTACAGATAACATTGCGAAGAATGGGAATTCCAGAACACTTAATTATGCTCAAGAGAAACCCGTACATAGATCAAGAGGCAGTCATTCAAACAGAACAAGGGGATACTGCGTGGATTAAAGCCAGGAAAGGTGTGCATCAGGGCTGTATCCTTTCACCATACTTATTCAATCATATGCTGAGCAAATAATCTGAGAAGCTGGACTATATGAAGAAGAAGGTGGCATCAGGATTGGAGGAAGACTCATTAACAACCTTCGATATGCAGATGACACAACCTTGCTTGCTGAAAGTGAAGAGGACTTGAAGCACTTACTGATGAAGACCAAAGACCACAGCCTTCAGTATGGATTACACCTCAACATAAAAGAAAAATCCTCACAACTGGACCAATAAACAACATCATGACAAATGGAGAAAACAGTGAAGTTGTCAAGGATTTCATTTTACTTGGATCCACAATCAACGCCCAAGGAAGCAGCAGTCAAGAAATCAAATGACCTATTGCACTGGGCAAATATGCTGCAAAAGACCTCTTTAAAGTGTTAAAAAGCAAAGATGTTACCTTGAAGACTAAGGTGCACCTGACCCAAGCCATGGTATTTTCAATTGCCTCATAAGCATGCGAAAGATGGGCAAGGAATAAGGAAGACTGAAAAACAATTGATACCTTTGAATTACGGTGTTGGTAAAGAATATTGAATATACCATGGACTGCCAAAAGAACAAACCAATCTGTCTTGGAAGAAGTACAGCTAGAATGCTCCTTGGAGGCAAGGATGGCGAGACTTCGTTTCACATGCTTAGGACATATTATCAGGAGGGATCAGTCCCTGGAGAAGGACATCATGCTTGGTAAAGCAGAGGGTCAACAAAAAAGAGGAAGACCCTCAACAAGAAGAAATGACACAGTGGTTGAAACAATGGGCTCAAGCAGAGCAATGACTATGAGGATGGCGCAGGATTGCGCAGGGTTTTTTCTGTCGTACACAGGGTTGCTATGAGTCGGAACCGTCTCGATGGCACCTAACAGCAACAACAACATATGCATGCAGAAGCTGGACAATGATAAGGAAGACCGAAGAAGAACTGATGCCTGTGAATTACGGTGTTGGTGAAGTATACTGAATACACTATGGACTGCCAGAAGAACGAACACATTTGTCTTGGAAGAAGTATGCTCCTTAGAAGCAAAGATGGCAAGACTTTGTCTCACATACTGTGGACATGTTATCAGGAGGGAGTAGTCGCTGGAGAAGGACATCATGCTTGGTAAGGTAGAGGATCAGTGAAAAAGTGGAAGATCCTTGATGAGATGGATTGACACAGTGGCTGCAACAATGGGCTCAAGCATAGCAACGATTATGAGGACAGCCAGCACCAGGCAGCGTTTCGTTCCGTTGTACACATAGGGTCATTAGACTTGACAGCACCTAACAACGGCAACAACAGAGTCCCCCAACCGGACTGCAATGAAACTATGAAACTTGCTTTCCAAATCTTCAGCTTCATGTGGTTAAAATTTAAGAAGAGTGCCCTCTAGTGGAGATAGTGGTCAGGATTTCTTTTTAAAGTTATTTTTAAGTCAATGATGATAACGCGCCTAAGGAGTACAATTAACTCAAATCTTTGTAATTGAGGTGTCCCTCACCTCAGCCCCCTAAAACTGAAAATAACATTTATAGTTTTTCCCCATTTGGAGAGGAAAATGTGTTCATCATAAAAAAAGTTTCAAATAAAATAAAGATACCCAATAATTCTACCCTCAATAAGGCAGCCTCTGTGAACATATGAGGAGTCCCTGTGTGGTGCAAATGGTTAAGCGCTCAACTACTAACCAAAAGGTTGGGGGTTTGAACCCACCCAGAGGCACCTTGGAAGAAAGATCTAGCAATCTGCTTCGGAAGGTCACGGCCTTGAAAACCCTAAGGAGTGCAGCTCGACTCTGCACACACAGGGTTCCATGAGTTGGAATCGATAGCAACTGTTTTTTTTTCTTTTCTTTTTTTAGTTTATAAACATATGAACATTTACTGAATAGTGTACAGCTTATATATGTATATGTATATATGTGTGTGTGTATGTGTGTGTGTGTGTGTATGTCAGGCTTAGAACCAGTTCAAACCCCTGCTGAGAATTTGCATTTTCACTCTAGATATCCTGAATCAGAATCTACAGTTTAACAAGCTCCCCAGGTGATTCTTATGTGTAATAGATTTTGAAACCCCTGCTCTACTGGTGGTTCTCAGAGCTGGTCCCTAACCAGCGGCATTAGCATTACCTGGGAACTTGGTAGACATGCAAATTCTTAGCAAGGATTCTAACTAAAACAAACTGGTTCAAAGCCCTCATATACACACACACACACACACACACACACACACACACATACACATATATAATCAATATAAATATATATATTATCAAATTGTGCAAATGGCTTTACTCTCTTAATGTACAATGAGATTTTGTCATATATTTAAATGGTCTTCAGGATCATTATTCTATCACCGCTGGTGGGGACCGTAATCCAAAACCAAACCCATTGTCATTGATTTGCTTCCGACTCACAGCGACCCTATAGGACAGGGTAGAACTGCTCCATAGGGTTTCCAAGGAGTGGCTGG